GTGCTGTGTCTGACTCCCTGCCAGCTCCCAGATCAGCTTCTCTGATTGGTTGCTGTGGTGCAACGAGCAGCAAAACTTCAGTTTTTCCAGATCCAGCAGCTGCTGCTTCTGAAGTGCGTCACGCATCAGATGTTTAGAAGCTTGGGAGGCGTTGATTCAGCTGCTCAAAACGTCCTGCAGGACCTTTTGCTGCACCTTCATGCTCGTCAGCCATTGACTTTGCATGTAAACCAGCTGCTACTGCTGCTTGCTGTCTGAATGTAGCATCAGGCCCTGTACTTTCAACCTTTTATAGGGCAAGTTACCATTTTTGATCACTTGCATACCCCTTACAAATGGATTCCCCTACCCCCCCATCCCTCAGTGAGCTGCTACATGGCTGGACATCTGATTTTGGCATTTGACCAATTAGATGAGCCCTTGAATGATATATTAACTACTGTGAATAAAGTTGAAAAAAAAAAGTTAACAATTCAAGGAAAAAAAATCTAATTAAAAAGTAAAGTTAAAAAGTGAATAAGCCTTGTTAACAATTATATTTAGGTTTCTAAACTAAAAATGTCAGTGCCAGTATCAGCAGTAATGCCTCTAAGGTGATGTTGGACCAAAGAAAACGTGTTTCTTTCACTCTCAGAGTGTTTTCATGAATTTCTTATAGAAGCACTTTGGTTATTTTTCTTAATATATTCGGGCAAGTTGCCGTTTCTTGTGATTACATTGACATTAATTTTTGCCATCAAAATATCAATTTTTTTTTTTTTTTTTTTACAAAGGTAATAAAGTCTTGTCCCGGATTCCAATAACACTATAAGTATTTCAATAAGTTCCCTATAAAGGCTTAAAAGCAATGTACAAGTTGACCGTAATTTACAGTGAATTCATTTTAAAATAAAACACAGAGTACAATAACTGCAGAGCATAGCTGAGCAGTAAGACTGTAAAAACAAACATCATTTAAAATAACGACCAAAGACGTCTCTGATTCTTCAGTATAAAGAATGTAAGAATTCTTATACTTGTTTATACTAAACTACTTGTTGTAAAATACGATATAATACCAGATGAATTCACTTCAACTTTACCTGGAAAAGGTTTCTCACTCATTCTGGTGATAGAATCAAAAGTTTCTTCAGCTATTGTCACCCATTCCAGGTAGGCAATAAAAAGTTCTACTGGATTCACTTTGTTTTAGTCTTTTTCCTGCTTCACAAAGGTAGACAGCAGCTTGACATGAAGACATGATGGTGATTATTTTACATCCAAGTAGTCTACAGTTTGGGTATCGGCGCAACACTAATAAAAAACCCAGAACATCTCAGCGTCTTTATTTTGAAATCATTTTCTTCTAGTTGCTGTTCCAGGAAGAAAAGCAATGCTGACTGTTCTGGTTCTGGGATGGACTACATTACTTGGGTTCCCATCTGCAGCATCCAGTAAGTGCTCAGCGCAGACTGTCCCTGTCTGACATCAGGCATTAACCAGAGTAGAAAGATCCCCAAACGCCTCGTCAGCGTAAAAAAAAGAGATCCTGAGATTTCTGCAGAGTCTAAATTGGTCAGATAAGACTAAACGCCTCCATATTTAAAGGAAAAGTCTGGTTATATTCAGAATTCAAACTTCTTAAAGTACTTTAAATATGAAATTATTACATACTTTTCAAATATTAGCGTTTTTAATTCAGAGTAATTTCCATCTGAATGTGCTTTACTGGAGGCATCCATGTTTGTCAAAGAACACTACTGCCACCTACTGGTTAGTGACATTGTCACGGTGCGGTATCGGCTGTTGAT